TAACTGTTCCATGGAAGTGAGTTGAACTGAACCCTCTGTCCTGCTGTGTGGACTAATTAGCTGTTATATTCCTTCTCGCTGTATAAACCTATCTTCATCTATCTATAAAATCATGAGTGTCCTGGTTTTGTTTCTCTAGAGAACCCTGCCTAACACAGTAGGCATCTCCCAATGACTTAGTAACACACCAGCATTTCCGTGGGAGGAGGCTCATACAGAGAGGGGGACCAACCTGCCCGTGGCCACAGAGCTAGCGGGAGAGCTGGGACTACAGCAAAACTTTCTTGACTCTCACTGTAGAGCTTTCCTTTGTCCAAATTCTGTTTGGCCCTCTGATTCGACTCCATTGGCCCTAATTAAGATTGGCAGACGCTCTATGGGTAAGAGCAGTTGTGGATCTTTAACTCAGGCCTCTGTTTGCTCTCAGAAGGTTCTGGATTTTTTCCCATTACTCCTTCAAGGGATTTTGCTGTATGCCCTTTCACCTTATTTTTCTTTTTTTAAAGATAATTTCTTGGGGGCTCTCACAGCTCTTAAAACCCCCTGTACTGCTGTGGGAACGAATTAGCTGTTATATTCCTGTTAAAATGAGCTGTTATAATCCAGACATCATTTGTATCAAGCATATTTGTGCATATGTTGCCATCCTCATTCTCTAAACATTCACTTTCTATTTGAGCCCTTGGTATTTTTTCTTTTTTCCAACGCTTTTATTGCCACATAATTTACATATCATACAATTGAATAGTTCAATCGTTCACTCATATCAAGGAGAAATTGTACAATTACCTCCATCCCAGAGCCTTCCCTCTTCCTGTGCATTCATGATCGGTTCCAGTAGCCGCTCCACCCCTTCATTATTTACTCCCAAACCCCCTTTGCCCTCCTCATCTTATTTTTAACCTGTTTACTAGCTCCTTCTCCTTACTCTTTTGGTTATTAAAAATAATCCCCCCCAAAGCAACAGCATTGTGAACCTGGTATCCCCTCTCCAGAAAAATACATTGCTCCTTCACAGCCAAGCAATTGGGAAAAAATTCAGCAGACCCCGGGCAGCTTCAAGCAATACGTATTTGCCAAATTTTCTAACGCATCCCCCAATTTGCTGAGCGGTGCCCAGACCACTGCTTAACACTCTATGGCTTTTTTAAAAAGTGTTTTGTTTTGTTTCCCAGACTCTGATTTGAAGTTAGCAAATATTTGATAAAAAGAAAACACGTGCTAATCATTTAGGGACACTGAGCACTGGTCAGGCTCCCTGGCCAGTCAATTAGTGTCTTCTGATCAAACAGCATGGCAGCTTCCAATTACAGTCCCTGTTACCTTAGCTGACTCACACATTGCTACGATTATGCCCCTTCCCCTCCCATTTATCCTGCTTCGCACACCTCTGGCTCCTTCCCTTCTCTACAGGGAAACTGCTCTGGTAAAACCACTACTCCAGAACTGAGGACACGTTGCACATTGCGTCTCCATTAAATCTGACTGACCCTCGTGCCAGGCCCTGCTTCTTGAAACTCTCCATTCATTTCCATACATTTGTCTTTCCTGACTTTTCTGCTGCCTCTGGGATCTGGGCATCCAGTCCTTTCTGTGAGTTTATCTTCTTCTCTCCGGGCTTTGAAATGTCATGTTTTCCAGGTGCCTGGAAACAAATATCTAGGGCTTAGGCAAGCGTCCTCATTGTGCCAGGTTTTCTTTTGCGCGGTTGTCTCCCATCTGGCTGAGTCTCTGCCCTGGATTCCAGCCAGGGGAACAACTCCTTTCCCCTCCCCTAGTAAAAGATTGCTCCCTGCTTCCAAAAGGGTGAAAAGATTCTCAAGCTTGCAGAGATATGTAGGAAATACGAAACAGAAGAAGAAAAAGTGCTGCCTTTTTATTCGTCAGCGTTGAGCCCCGAGGAGAAGGTGGAGATGGTGGAACAGAAACCGGAAGAGCTGAGTGAGGAGTTTGCAAAGGTGACGTTCCTAAGGCCCGGAGCCATTGCTCAGGGTGGCGGGGGTGGGTGGGGTGGGGGTGGGGGTGTGGGTGCACACTGTGCGGCGGTCACTCACAGGCCCTGCTGCGTACCTTCTCCCTTGACCTCAACTCCCAGATGGTGATGGACTACACAGGGATGGAGAACTTCTGGAAAAGGTACAACAAAGTGAAACTGGAGCAGCTGAGCCTGAAGCGCAGGCGGGTCCAGCTGCTAGACATCAACGGGAAGCTGCGGGAGATGCTCAAGCAGTACCTGGACGGCATCTCAGTGAGTGACGAAGTGCTGAGCCAGCTCAACCCACTCTTCATCGTCAACCACCGGAGCAACTTACCCTCCGCCTTGTCCCCGCCCGCAGCCCCGCCAGGGGCCAAGCCGCCTCGCCGTCACTTACAACATCACTGAAGCAGCCCGCGTGATCTCTCATACCCTGTGACCCAAGGGGACACTGTCTTTCCCACTTGAGATTTTTTTTTGAGGCCCCAAGAACTTTGTTCTATTAAAAGTGTCTGAGCTCCTAATCACTGTGCTGTATTGGACAGAGCAGCCCACTTTGAGGACACTACGAATGTCAGTCCCAGGAAATGGAGGGGCTAGTTGGTCCATGCCTAGAAGTCCACTGCCAGTGAAGACACTGCTCCAGAATTGGGGCAACGCGGGGCCTAGTGATCCTACGGGGGTGTCGGGGGCATCCAAGACCAGGTCTTTTGGGTAAGGTAGGAAAGCAGAGGCCTTACCCACAATGGGTAAGAGCCCTCTCAGAATGTCTCCGCCCCCCAGCCCTTTGAATAATGCTTGACACAGTGAAAATTAACCTCAGAAAGTACCAGGTAAAGAATGCAAAGAAGGTGGTGTTTTTCACGTTCATCGTTTATTATTTCTTTTTGCTCTTGTTTCGTTTCTCTTCCTTGAGCTTCTTTTTGGAGACTTTGGGACTGCTGGCCTTTTTGTACAGGTGGTAGCCAATGAGGCCCAGCAGGGCTGGCACCAGGGCAATGCCTACCAGAGGTACAATGCCCTTCACCAGCTTTTGCCAGTAGTTGGCTCGGACCAGTGCAATTAGCTCCACGTCAAACTTCAGCACTGCATCCGCTGGAGAGGCAGAGAAAGGAAGGGTGAGGGTTAAGCTCCCGGAGGGAATTATCCAGAGCTCAGAATCTGCATCAACTAGGGAGCGCTGGCTCCAGCAAAGGCCGGGAAAGGTTATGTCCAGCGTCTAGGCTAGCCATGCCGAGCCCGGCTCTAAGTGTGGTTTAGGCCTACTGCCAGGCCTTTGATAGCACAGGAATCTGAGAAGTATAGGCCATTCTCCCATCAGGGAGGGAACCACCTATACCAAGTGGACCCCTACTCCCACCCCCGGAGAATTTCTACAGGGCTAAAATGATTTGGATTTAGACTAGAAATGATTGTAATTGCACCAACTCCTGAGCACACCCAATATAAGGGCCAGAGAAAATAGGAGCTTCAACAGTGGTGCCAGAGAGGAAAGGGATGTGGCTTAAGTAGTAAAGTGTGTAGTGTGTGTGTGGGGGGAGGGAATTGACCGAGTGGGGGTGGGGAGGAGTGCAAACAGAAGCCAGCAGCATGAAGTTGGGGAGGGAAACGAGCTTCGAGTAGAGTTTCTGTCTAGTCCCCTCCCCGCTTTGAGTCTGGGTCTCCCCCCACCCCTCACCCCCCAAGCTGGAACTCAGATCCCAACTCACCGGAGTGCAACACATTTTAGCTAAGGGAACATCTGTTCTAGCCAGAGGCAAGAGAGATCCTTGTCAAGGCCTGTC